ATTACTTACTATATATATATATATATATATATATATATATATACCATATAGTGTCAATTCTCTGATTTTTTTATCTTAGTTTCACAAAGTTAGTTTTATCGTACATATTATATTTCGTTTGTTTATTTTGTTGTCGTTATTGTTTGTTCTATTTTTTTATTAGCTCCGATTTCGCAAGCGTTATTCGCAACGAACGGAGCAATGAGCTCATTCATTTGCCATTATAGAATCTCGCAGCTCATCGATAGTCACGCTTGTGTACCTTTGCAATTTTTACATTAAATATATAATTTGACATTCTTAATAAGAAGATATATACCTACCTAGATATGTTTAATAATGATAGCTTTAAATTATTTTATTTATGTACACATTACTTTACTGTTCATAAGTGAAATTAAAATTGACTAAAATTATTTGAAAAAAATTACATATATTCTTAAATATTTGTAATTTATTTATATAAAAGATATAAATAATATATTTACCACTTTAGAAAAAAATATAATTAAAATTATATTTGTATTAATATAATACTAAGTATATTATATAATAATACATATATGTTATATGAAACTAATATAATAAATGTAATAATATAATGCTAAATCTAAGAAAATATATTTATAAATCAATAATATATACAATAATAATAAATTATTTTTATCGATTTGTGGACAGTATTGTATGTGTTGATTTAACTATACTATTTTGTATAGTATATTAGAAGAAAGATCGAATGCGCATATTTTCGAATGCATATTTTTGATTACAATGTGACTACCGATAAGTACAAGAGGTTCTACCGTCGTAGAGAGGCTATTATATTATTTTTCGTTTTAGAATTATTATATTTACTATTACTTTTTCGAAAACACGATATTTACCGACGACCAAATCGTCAGAATCGCTGAATGAAATGGGCATGTACAAATTGACGCTAGTTTACGAATGGGGATGCAATTCAGTGCAATTTTATCTAGTTCAAATGCTATGAATTAAGTTTTTTCTCCTTTTTCACGTCTTAGTGCAATGAGACGAACAGAATAGATTCGTGTTTCGTAATTGTTTTAAGTGATTTAAGAACAATTTTCGAATTATACAAAATATTTTTAGATGCACTAAGTCATCTTTCAAGTTCCACGCGTACGAACGCGAAAGATGAATTTATAATTAATTCTTTAAGGAATATAGCATTGAAAAACTATTTATTTCAATTTTTTATTTTCAATATTAAAGTTTTTATAATAATTTGTAATAAATACAAAGAATTAAGAGAAAAAGGAGGTAGGAAGTGTAAAAAGAAATAAATTTCGTGCGAATAAACTGTCCCTTAATATATATTCTTATAAATTTATGAATCGACTTATCTGTCGTCTTATTTGATTGCATAATTTTCGTATATGTTTTATAATATCCGAACGTTTCAGAACTGTTTCGGATACTGTTACTTTACGTAAATAATTTTGTGTTTTTACGTAAAATTTTCTTTAAGTTACTCTACGCTGCGTCATTCGTTTTAAATCCTTTTGACAAACTATATACATATACATGTGTATATAATTATCCGTTTTTTATTTATACATTTACATATGATATAATCGTGCGTACATGTAATTAACTGAACTGCGCACGCAAACACGAAATATTATTTTGTTATAAATGAGAAAGCGAATGTGCACATTCCTCGGAAAGCCATGAATGCGAAATAAGTACAACACCGCCAATTAATATTTGTCCTAGATGAATTGATATTCCCTTAGTTGATTATTTATAAAAGAAGAAAGAGATGAGACATATATATGTATACATAAAATATGAAAAAAAAAAATATATATATATATAATATATCATTACGTAATTCTATGTTTGGCTTATGCAGGCTAAATAATGTAAGTGGACATATGTGTGAATAAAGTTGGAAAAACTATCAACTCACATAAGCGAGACTCTCCTCTTTCCTTCTCGAGAAACGTCCGTACTTGCGACGTACGATCGCGCGATTTCGGGATTCACCACGCTTGAAAATTATTCTCGGTTTATTTCATTTTTTTTTTTTTTTCTTTTAATTGAGCACAATTTGCACAGACTGCGCGTGAAATAACAGCGACTGAATGGAAACCGCTTTGCGCTTTCGTTCACGCAACACACACATACACACACACGTGTCGAAGTGACACAGTCGGCTAGACGACAAGCTGCAGCACTGCACCACGTCACCATCTAATTCACCTAATCCATCACAACTGTGAATTTGAGGCGAGTTTAACGTGCTACTTACACGTGCTAATTTGTGCCGGCGCGCTTCAGTCAGTAATGCATCGGCATAACAATCTCATTGTTTCACGATGTGTAACTATAATCAATACCTATTAGTATGTTTGCGGTACATTATGATAATAATGTTTATTGTAATTAAGTGGTGTTGGTGTATTTTTATATGTTTTAAGCAAGATTGGGCAGAAAGTAGTCGAATTAATGATAATTCGTTATATTATGATGATAAAGTGATCAGTAATCACAATGCAATCAATCCGAAAATAATTGAAAATTGTAATTAATTGGACACTTTTGGTACAAACAAAAACTTTGAACTTAATCGTGTATAGAAATATTGTATAATTTATATAATTTATAATTCGTCTATTATTTTAATCTATAATAATTTTGTACCAGAGAAAATGGATGCTTTTTTGAATTATATATTTCGTGAATACTGATTACTTCGATCGATTTCGAGGTAATTTATTTTAATTTATTAATTTTTATTTGCGAACACAATTGATTATTTGCCCAAAATGCTTTGAATCAGAGTGAAAAAACTGAGGAGAAAGGCGATATTATGCATGGCAGTTTAGTTACTGTTGTATTGTGTATAGTGGCCGAATTCGACGTTCAGGATTCGATCGGCAGTGGGTCCGATTAATTAAGCTCGGTGAGAGCCGATTGAAGGGAGTAATTTACACATACACAAATACACACTTCGAGGAGGATCATCAGTCGATCGCGCGCTCTTCGGGGGCGTCCTACCTGGCGCCTGCTAACACATCGGCTAATACAGTGCACGTTGACCCCACACGTATATGGACCAATGACTATCAAACGTGCGTTCCTCGACACTTTGGAGCAGCTTGATCGCGCGATTTTAACCCTTTACCTGCGGCAGTAATTTCACCCACGATTCCCCACGAGGCCAACAAATTGAGAAGAGCACGGCAAAATACAATACGGTTTACGTGACTCTATTTGATGGCTAAAGTCATTGAGATATAATCGAAACGTTCATATGTGATTAGCGAAAGGAAGCTTCTTCTCTTATGGTAAAATTTGGATGATAAGTTTTAGATAACTCAATGTTACGATCAACTCCCGCGATAGTGGTGGCTTGTAAGAAAAATGTCTAGAGTCTAGAGTCGTGAGATAAAGGGTTAATGTTCGCGCTCGAGGTCTCTACACGTTGTCATCCGAGTTTCACCAGTAATCGACTGACGATCCCCTCGCAGTAGATGGCCTGTGTTAACGTGTCATCGTGTCCCCTCTCCCTCCCACCCCCAAGCTCCACCGTCCTCTCTTCCCGCTTTTCCTCCACCTGTGAGTTCTCTCCCCTGACTGTGATCTCGTTGATAATTGATGATGAGGAACCGGCGGGTCACGTGGCTGTGTTAATGTGTTGCAGGGGGGTGGGACGCAATCGGAAGCACGTTGGCGATACAACTGGTCAGGTGGTGATGCAGGGCCCGGGGCGTTTTCCGTGCCGACTCTGCGGAAACGTTTACAGGCACCTTGCCTCGCTGACCCAGCACCTCGAAGTGCATCGCAACCAGACTACCTGCATCGTCTGCCACACCACTCTCAGTCGTAGAACCGACCTGCGGCGTCACATGCGCCTGAAACACCAAATACCCTCGCAAAAAACGATCCACAAGCGGCGCAGCCCGAAAAGCGAATTGGACTCGTAGATCACACGCACCGCACTACCTATCTCTCTATATCTATCTCTCTTTCTCTCTCTTTCTCTCTCTCTGTCTGAGATAATAGATATCGATCGTCGTGGCGATTCACTATTATTATTGAACGCCCGAACGACATCGCTTCTTGCTCCGCTCTCAATCGCGGGTATCTTGTGCGTTTACTGATGCGAGATCTCGCTCTCGATGCCGATCACGGCAGCATTTCGTCACCTTAATACTGCATTTTTCGAATCCTTTTCGCGATCGTGAATTTTAGTAACAAAATTTGATTTAAGTTTCACTCTATTAATAGAAATTTATCAATCAACTCAAAGTTAAAAATATTCATTTTTTTTTTTTTCTATAAAAAGGAGAGGTATCTTTCAACGATAGATTTGACATTGTTTTGTACTACAACTGCGAAGAACATTACACTGGGATATTTGAAAGTAGTATTAAGCTGATCGTATCTGCAATTATTTGAAATATAATTCTTGAGGACGAGAATCTCGCAAATTAAAAATTACGCGCCTCTTTGTTCGCGAATTTCTCGCGATACATACAAGCGAATAACATTGAACCTTGGACCTGGAGAATGTGCTCTCCATGGAAGATGTATTAATTGATTCTTTTTTATTTGAAACAATTGTTATTGCTAAGCAAGGTTTACTTCTCAAGATGGAAATGAAATTTCATGGTCGGACGTGATAAATACAATGCGGGATATCAATCTTGCATTCTCTTCTTCTTCAAACATTATATATTTTGAAGCAGAGATTTTTTTTTTATAATTTTTACATTTCAACGGCACTTGATTGCACGAGAGCAGTTCAGCGGTGTATGATCATGTGCTTTGTCTGAA